CTTGGCTTGGCTGCATCCGATTCCTAAAGGGGACCTCCGCTGTCTGATTTAATAAGTATATACATTACGCATCTGGTGAGTGCGTATTCTTACCCCACTGTTTTGGAGCACCATCACTTGAAGTATTATTGCTGCTATTGCACTGATACCTGCGCAAATTGTCACTTGTGGATTGCTACAACCTTCAGTTGGAGTTCAACATATGTACATTTATCTGGAACCTTTTATTTTATCATATATTCTTTTAGCGCTGCACTTACTTTTTTATTGTTTTTCGAGGTTTTATATTGGTTACCTTTTTAGTGCTACAGCTGCTACCTATAGAGCGCTCACTTTTCTTTTATCTGATGAACACAGTTACATAGTTAGTCTGGCTGAAAAAAGAGACAAAAAGTCCATCCAGTTCAACCGTTAGAACGGTCTTGCCAGCCAAATGATTTGCATTTCTGTCCATCCAATCCTGGGATTTACACACCTGTGCCCAGGGGTGTATTTACCACAAGGCACTTGCCTAGGGCGGCATTTTTCAGGGGGGAAGCACCTCCCCTCAGAAGAAGGGATGAAAGAAGGGAAGCGCGCACTATGGGAACCAGGTGGGATCCGAGAGAGGCTGCGGGCTGCTTTATGTGTATGTAGATCCTGACTTGTTCCCGGGGATGTCTGGAACTGTGAAGATGAGTGTCTCTCTATCGTGGGGAGGGGGGGTAGTGGGAGGGGCAGGGATAGTGGGAGGCTCTCCCGGGTGGGGGGGCAGGGATGTTGTTAGTCAATGTCAGGCTCTCTCCACTGGAGGGGGAAGGGTGAGTTGTGTTGGTCGGTGTCCATGGGGGCCAGACAGCATTTTTCTTGAGCTTTTTAGGCGCTTTTTTTTACTCAAAAACTCCTCCATGTGAAGGTAGCCTTACAGGCCTTGCCCCTCCCATCAGCCTGTGATTGGGCAGTAAAAAGAGAGGCGGAAAACTAAAATGCTTCTCTTTCCCTTATCAGCAAGCTTCTCGTCACCACCTGACTACAGCAGCTCAACTGATTGGCTTCTTGTGCTGTTTATTCCTCTCCCAGTCTGAGCTCTTCTGTACAGAGACTCTAAGAAGCTAATGCCAAACCAAATTTAGGTACAGGCGTACCTCGGTTTACGAATTTAATGCGTTCTGCGGGAGTTTTCGTATTGCGAAAAATTCGTCAACCGAAACGCGGTTTCCCATAGGAATGCATTGAAAACCAATTAATCCGTTCCGGAGGTCAGAAAAAAGTAAAAAAAAAAAAGTATTTTCTCTGTTCAAAACTCTTATTAGGTGCACTTTAAAGGCATAAATACTGTACAGGGACATGATTAGAAATTAATTCGTAAATGCATTGCAAACCAATTAATCCGTTCTGGAGGTCAGGAAAAAAAAAGTAAAAAAAAAAAAAAAATCTCTGTTCAAAACTCTTTATAAAGTGCATTTTAAAGGCATAAATACTTTACAGGGATATGATTAAAAAAAAAAATTGTAAATGCATTGAAAACCAAGTAATCCGTTCGTTTGAGGAAAAAAATGATAAATGCATTGAAAACCAAATTAATCCGTTCCGGAGGTCAGAAAAAGTAAAAAAAAGTCTTATCTGTTCAAAACTCTTTATAAAGTGCACTTTAAAGGCATACATTTTAATCATGTCCCTGTACAGTATTTATGCCTTTAAAGTGCACTTTATAAAGAGTTTTGAACAGATAAGACTTTTTTTTACTTTTTCTGACCTCCGGAACGGATTAATTGGTTTTCAATGCATTTATCATTTTTTTCCTCAAACGAACGGATTACTTGGTTTTCAATGCATTTACAATTTTTTTTTTTTAATCATATCCTTGTAAAGTATTTATGCCTTTAAAATGCACTTTATAAAGAGTTTTGAACAGAGATATTTTTTTTTTTTTTTTTTTACTTTTTTTTTTTTTTCTGACCTTCAGAACGGATTAATTGGTTTTCAATACATTTACCAATTAATTTTTAATCCTGTCCCTGTACAGTATTATTTGGTAAATGCATTGAAAACCAATTAATCCATTCTGGAGGTCAGAAAAAAGTAAAAAAAAAAAATCTCTGTTCAAAACTCTTTATAAAGGGCACTTTAAAGGCATAAATACTGTACAGGGACATGATTAGAAATTAATTTGTAAATGCATTTAAAACCAATTAATCTGTTCCGGAGGTCAGAGAAAAGCAAAAAAAAAAAAGTATTTTTATCTGTTCAAAAATCTTTTTCTAAAGTGCATTTTAAAGGCATAAATACTGTACAGCGACACAACTAGAAATTAATCCGTTCATATTGCGAAACAAATTCGTAGACGCATTGAAAACCAATTAATCCGTTTCGGAGGTCAGAAAAAAGTGTAAAAAAAAAAGTCTGTTCAAAACGCTTTATAAAGTGCACTTTAATGGCATAAATACTGTACAGGGACATGATTGGAAATTGATTCGTAAATGCATTAAAAAGCAATTAATCTGTTCGTATTGCGAAAAAAAATTGTAAATCGAGGCGTTATTTTCATGGAGCGCTCAACAATGGGGCTGAATGCCAGGAGCCATGATGTCACACACCAACTTCCATTGTCCACTTGTTGTTGGTGACACTGTACTACTTGTGGGGGGTGATGAAGATTTTTTTTACACTGATTGCTTTTACACCCATAAAGGATGTAAAAGCAATCATTTCTCCTTCTCTCTGGCTGCATTGTTGCAGCCATTGAGAAATACTGTGTGAGCTGTGATTGGTCAAACCTTGTCACATGGTACAAGGCTGTTGTGAATAGTCCTGTACCATGTGATCTCGTCACACGTAGTAAGCAATGATGTCAGAAGTGACATCTTGCTTACTACTCTTCATGTGATCACTGATTGGCCAATCAGTGATCACATGATCGGGACCTCGCAGAGAGGTCCCGTACTGTGATCCAGTGTGTGTCCGGAGGACACAGCGGGCACCTGATCGCGGTGCCGCACGCTCCTAGGGAGCTCGCACACTCCAAAATGGTGGACGCCGTTTATGAACGGCAACCCACTCCAGCACTGCCACCGTCCGGCCGTTTATATACATGGGCCGGACAGGAAGTGGTTAAAGGCAACTGCAATTTATTTTTTTATTTCCTTCTGTGAGTGCGTGCCTACCTACCTTCACAGCCATGTGTTGGAGAACGAGTCCCTACAAGAGATAGTGGTGGCCGAAAATTCCTCCCCAACCCAGCCTCCCCTCCCCTTACAGCTTCCAAGGTATGGGTCTGTTTCTTGGATCCAGGCCAGCCAGTCAACAAGATGGCGGCGGCTGCACATTCACCCTCATTGGTCCGCCAATCGCCAAGATGGAGGCGGGCCGCACCGTCTCCCTTGCCGAGCGGCTTCGACTGTGTAGGATGGTTGGTGTTGCCCTTGAAGCAACTGGGGCAGACCAAGGATATGATGTGGGGAGGTGTTGCCAGGTCCTGCTGTCCATCCCACAGGTAAGGGGGTGAAGCCTATACCCCCTTCCCCCCACTCATCTGCTTTACCTTCTGCCTTGCAGTGGAGGAAATATATAAATGGTGAGTGGGGGGAGGGAGCGCTAAGACGCTGATGCGTCTTAGCGCTCCCTCCCCCCACTCACCATTTATATATTTCCTCCACTGCAAGGCGGAAGGTAAAGCAAACGAGTGGGGGGGGGCATAGGCTTCACCCCCTTACCTGTGGGATGGACAGCAGGACCTGGCAACACCTCCCCACGCCCAAACGTGTACCCTGTGTATGTTTGGGGATGGACCATCAGCAATGGGGGTTAGTAGAAGGTCCATGTGGAGGTGGTGTCCAAGTCCATCTGTAGTGGGGGGCTTGTAGTAGTATGGACTTGTCCGAAGAGGCATCCGGCTGTAAGAGCTTGTAGATGCTCCTAATGCAGGTAGAGAAGAGAGGCGGCAGCGCCACTCTAAGTGTAGACGGTTCAAATCAGGCAGATTTAATGGTAAAATTGCACTCACATAGGTAGGTATCAGGTAGGCATGTCAAGTGATGGAGGTCCAGTGGGAGCATCAGGTCCTTTGGCCGTGCTCTGGGTGTTTTCCCGTCGCTTCGGTGGTGTCCAGGGCCCGGGGAGTAGCAGAGGGCCGCAGGGATGATGTCACCACAGGGACTGGGTTTCCAAGATGGTGCGCGTTCGGAGCATGCTCACTCCTTCATCAGGCCGACACCACCGGAGCGGCAGGTAAACACCAAGAGCGTGGCCAAAGGACCTCATGCTCCCAGTGGACCTCCATTTTACCCGTCTACACTTAAGAGTGGCGCTGCCGTCTCTCTTCTCTACCTGCATTGGAAATATAGAATACCCACCTTATTGATTCGGCCCTCCACAGCAGTCCCAGAAGATGAATTGCCAACCCCGATCTAAAATATCTGCGCAGGCTGGATCATTAACAGGAAGCACCTGAGCTCAGTTGTTTGGAGCGGTGGCCACATACCTGTGCGCATCTAGTTTACACCGAGAGTCAGTAACCTGTAGATGGCGGCCAGGTGACTGCTAGATCGCGGGTGTGGGCTTGCTGACCCGCCACCCCAGAGCATCAGAGTGGAATGCAGAGGGACTACTCGTAAAGTTGTAGTAGGGAGCGATTGACCAGAGTGGGCGGTCCCTTACTGTTTGATGCAACACCTTCAAAAGTGGTTTTCCTTTCTTTTTTTTTTTTTTTCTTTTTTCTTACAGTTAAAAAAAAAAAAAAGTCTATATGGTTTGTGAATTTATTTATTTTTAATTGGAAAAAAAAAAAAAAAAAACGTCTGTGGTTTGTGAATTTCTTTATTTTTCAATTAAAAATAAATAAATTCACAAACCATATAGACATCCATTTTTATTTTGCAATTAAAAATAAACAAAATAAATTCACAAACCATATAGATGTCTTTTTTTTTTTTGGCAATTAAAAATAAATAAATTCACAAACCATATAGACTTCTTTTTTGGCAATTATAAATAAAATATATTCACAAACCATATAGACATCCATTTTTTTTTTTTTTTGCAATTAAAAATAAATAAAATAAATTCACAAACCATATATGTCTTTTTTTTGGCAATTAAAAATAAATTCACAAACCATATATGTCTTTTTTTTTCTGCAATTAAAAATAAATAAATTCACACAAACCATATAGACTTTTTTTTTCTGCAATTAAAAATAAATAAATTCACAAACCATATAGACTTTTTTTTTTCTGCAATTAAAAATAAATAAATTCACAAACCATATAGACTTCTTTTTTTTTTTTTGCAATTAAAAAATAAATAAAATAAATTCAGAAATCATAGACATTTGTTTTTTTTATTTTTTTACTCAACTTTATTTAATTTCATTCCAAACAGCACAATGGTCATGTAAAATATCCTGAACAGTTTACAAAATAAAACATAAGGCATTACATTTAAACGCATCACAAAATTCTGATAACTGCACAAAAATTTTTTTTTTTTTTCAATTTTTCAGCTCACAAATAAAAATGTGTTTCTTTTTTTTTTTTTTTGGTTTTCTAAGAAACCAGTACGTAGCGCCGGAGACGTGTCCTCCTAGCTCAGGCACAAATCAGAAAGTATAAAGATGTGTGTACGGTCCGTTCTGCTTAGTGCAGTCCTGCCCCGGGAACAGGCGTTCTCTGTGGGCAGAGTGGGCTGACAGCCTATCGTATCTCTTGGAAGCCGTGACATCACAGGCGAGGCAATCGATAGGCTGCAGTATATATATATATATGTATGTATGTGTGGTTCTGAGTCCGTGTTGGTTGTGATGATTGCACATGGCCTAGACCAGGGGTAGGCAACCTGCGGCTCTCTAGCTGTTGTGGAACTACATTTCCCATGAGGCATTGCACAGATTACAAAACTGACAGTTACAGCTATGACTTGCAGAGGCATGATGGAACTTGTAGTCCTGCGGCTCTCAGGTTGCCTACCCCTGGCCTATACAAACATGGCGCACCCATTCTGAATAGCTTATTCAACTCGTAAAAACGGTATTGAAATGTCTTCCATAACAGCTACAATAAACTCAACAAATCGTTCACGCTTGGCGGTCCTTTCATTGTGTAATAGTCCCTTTAAGACCGGCCTCTAACAACGGCCTCATTTCGAGGACTGGAGAAAATGGAGCCGGCAGCGGCCATGTTTTGTTTAGCCCTTTCAAGCCGGTGGTAGCCGGTCCATCAAGAGATTGTAACGAAGGAGGCGTTGTGTGAGCTTCCCGATCATGTGTTCGGAGGCTGGTCCTACCGGCCCATGGTGGCTGACTGGTGGTCACAGGGCTGGGGGCGCACGATTGAACACAACATACAGGAACTACTGTGACCTGAAGAAGCAGCTTCGGGCATCGATCTTAATATCTCCAGTGCCGAGAAGGAAGAAGCCCGCCCTGGCTCCGAACACTTCATAGCAAAGTGACGTCCAAACGCTGCTCACAGAACAGAAACTCAAGTGAGACAAGTGAAAGCCATGCCCCGACGTGTTTCGCCCTGCCCACAGGATTGCAACGAAGGAGGGGTTGTGTGAACTTCCCGATCATGTGTTCAGAGGCCTGTCCTACCGGCCCATGGTGGCTGACTGGTGGTCACAGGGCTGGGGGCGCACGATTGAACACAACACATAGGGACAACTGTGACCTGAACAAGCAGCTTCGGGCATCGATCTTGATATCTCCAGTGCCGAGAAGGAAGGAGCCCGCCCTGGCTCCGAACACTTCATAGCAAAGACACGTCCAAACGCTGCTCACAGAACAGAAACTCAAGTAGGACGAGTAAAAGCCATGCCTCCGACGCGTTTCGTCCTGCCCACAAGGCCATACATGGTTCGAATGCCGAACGATTTTTCGTCCAAAAATTGAAAACTTTGTTTGCTCGGTAATCCGACGGCGCCATCAATGATTTTGAATATCGGCCGACTGAGTCATAAAGTTCACCCCGTATAACAGGCGAAACTTCTGTTCCTTCCAGGTCACGGCTCATGCGCATATTCTATTCGGAAAAACGATCGTACGATTTGAGCATCATTGAATCGAAAATCGGTCGTTTTTCCAACATGACCGATCGCAGAAAAGGGGGAGGAACCACGAAAATCGGCCGGTGCTATTGGCCCACTAACAGCAAAAATCGGCCAATTATTCTTAGGTCTGATTTTCGGATGAAAAATCGGTCGAATTTCGACCCATGTATGGCAGGACTTAGTCATGGAGGCCAAGAAATAATCCCCGTGGGCAGGACGAAACGCGTTTTTATATATTCTATAGAGGCGTTTGCTGTGTTACTTCCTGTTGTGTCGGTCGGCAGCAGGAAGTTCGATGTGCACAGAGAACATAATTCCTGCTGACTACTAAGTGCTGCGACTCCTCACGCACACGGGGCGTTTTAAAAAAACACGGTAATGTTGTATAAAGTCCCGCATTTTTTTTGGCGTGTTTAGCCGCGTTTGCCTTTTAAACGCTTTTTTTACACCAAAAAAAAAAAATTTTTGCTAAAAAAAAAAGCCCCAAAATGCAAGTCTGCCGCGTTTTTCCACGTTTACCAGCGTTTTTCCAGCTAACAAAAAAAACTCTAGAAAGCTGCTAGTTTTGGGGGTTTTTTTTTCCAGCTAAAAAATGCTGATTAAAGCCTGCGTGTGCATGGACACATAAGATAACATGCTGGGGGGGGTTATTGGATGTAGAAAAAAATGCCAAAAAACATCCGCTGTAAAAATGTCCCGTGTGCATGAGGACGTATTGTGGGGCGCGGGCAGGTACAGCTTCTCTGGCCTCTTCAAGAATTCTAACAATCTACTGATGACGAACATTCGAACCATCAATCTCCCTTTTGCAGCAATTCAAAGTCATGTCCACAATTGTAAACCCTGAAGGATGCAGCTGCAGACCTGCGGCTACAAAGGGCTTGCTGGTACTTAAGGGGTACGGGTCACACCTCCGATATTGGGGGGGGGACTGTGAGGGGGGGACCTCCGATGTATGGGGGGGGATTGTGATGGGGGGACCTCCGATGTAGAGGGGGCTGTGATGGGGGGACCTCTGATGTAGCGGTGGCTGTGATGGAGGGGACTTCCGATGTATTGGGGGGATTGTGATGGGGGACCTCTGATGTAGGGGGGGATTGTGATGGGGGGGCTGTGATGGGGGGACCTCCGATGTATGGTGGGGGATTGTGATGGGACCTCCGATGTATGGTGGGGGATTGTGATGGGGGGGCCTCCGATGTATTGGGGGGATTGTGATGGGGGGCCTCCGAAGTAGGGGGGGGGCTGTAATGGGGGTATCTCCGATGTGGGGGGGACTGGGGTAGGGGGGACTGTGATCTGATGTAGGGGGGGGAACTGTGATGGGGAGACCTTTGATATGGGGGGCTGTGCTGTGATGGGGAGAACCTTTTGATATGGGGGGGGCGCGCTGCTTGTGATGGGGAGACCTTTGATATGGGGGGGGGCTGTGATGTGGGGGGAGACCTTCCGATGATATGGCGGGGACTCCGATGATATGGGGGGGGCCGATGATGGAGGGAGGTGGGGGGGGGGCACGGGGGGGGGACCTCCGATTTTATGGGTGAGGGGGACTGTGATGGGGAGACCTTTTGATGGGGGGGGGGGGGGGGATGGGGGGGGCTGTGATGGGGAGACCTTCGATGTTGGGGGAGCTGTGATGGGGAGACCTTCGATGGGTTGGGGGGGGGGGGAGCTGTGATGGGGGGACATCCGATGTATGGGGGGGGACCCTCTGATGTATGGGGGGGGGCCGTGATGGGGGGACCTCTGATGTATGGGGGGGGCCGTGATGTGGGGACCTCCGATCTAGGGGGGACTTTCGATGTAGGGGGGGCCGTAGGGCCGATAGGGGGGGAACCTCCGATGTGTGGGGGGGGGGGGGGCGGTGACTGGGGGGGACCTCCGAGGTGGGGGGGGGGAACTTCGACGTAGGGGGGGCCGTAATGGGGGGAACCTCCGATGTGAGGGGGGGGAGGCTCTCCAATGTATTGGGGGGGACTTCTGATGGGGGATAGGGGGGGGGGGGGGGGGGGGGGGGGGGGGGGGGGGGGGGGGAACTGATGTGAAGATAATTTCATCAGTGTGGTTGTATGCCTCATCCCAGGCGCAGGTTTCCCATTGATAAGTAACATTTACATTGTAGACTGCGGGTGCCTCACAAGACTTCGCATACTTTTAAAGGTGACAAAAAAAAAAGTGGTTGAGAGCCGCTGATTTGTTAAAACACAAGTCAAGGTCCCAATTCCTGACTTTACTTCCCCCCCCTTCCCCCCCCCTGATCACCTCCCCCCTTCCCCCCCCCCCCCCCCCCCCCTTTCCCCCTGTCCCTCAATCCTGATATATTTCTGACAGCTGACCCCCCGCTACCTCGCCCCGTTACTGTCCTGCTGCGGCATGACATTTCCTTCCCCCTTTAAGTCCCTTATAAATTTAGCCCAGTGAAATAAATATGTGAAAGTATGACATTTATTTTTGTTTTCACTGACAAAATGTATATATTTTTCACGGATAAATTAATCATAAAGAATTATCAGTGAAAAATATATACATTTCATCAGTGAAAATAAATATAAAATAGATGTCATATTTTCACATATTTATATTTTTTTTTTGCACTGATGAAATTTGTGACAAATATGACATCCTATCCCATATTATATTTATTTCACTGATGAAATGGATATAATATTATTTTTCACTTCTTTGATTATGTTTTTTATTAATTTTTGGCGCTGTGGTTTTTAGTTTCAATTGTGAAGTTTACTAAATCTGCTTTAATTAAATATATTGCCCAGTGATCTCGCCCTAATGATATGTAGCTGATGCTTTAAGTGCATGTAGACAGGAAGTGGCTGAAGGAGGTCGCAGAAGATCAGCACGACTGAGCGCAAAAAATAAAATGGAGAAAACTAGTATTTTTTTAAAAGAAAAAAGAAGGCACTTATTTCCAATGCTTTAGAAAACCAAAATGTCATCCAGTTAAGGTATACATCTACCTTACCCCAGCTAGCCCATGAAACATAACCAGCTCTATTCTACCCCTCTGGAAAAAAAATATATTTGAAATATATTTAAAAAATATTCCTCCCTCCAGCATGGTTCCAGTCACCCCCCACTGTGTTCAATGATGACCTCCAGTGGTCTTCGAGTACAGATTACCCATATGAATGAATGGCGCCCAGCAGACATACATAGTATGAAGCAAATCCAGCTGGGACCACGTCAGAGGGAGGATTGCTGGATTGGATCAAGAACGTAGGCAAGTAATATCATGGGTGGGCTCCACTTGAAGGTTTATTCAAATATTTACTAAGATTGAAGTTCTTTAACCTAATGAGCCATGCCTGAAATAGCAAGCGGCCCGCTGGTCTGTAAAACGTCTTGAGGCTCTCACGTTTCTGTTCTGGCCGATAAACTCTTGGTTGCTCAGCCAAGATAATGGCTACAGGCTGGCAGCCTGGACCCTTACTAATACGTCAGAAAGCGAAGTTCAATATCTCCAATTTAACTTGTGTTGCGCATGTACATGCGGACCATGAAACACTTGAGTACGTGCACACCCATTGCAGTGGGCCATGAAACCACTTGAGTACGTCCACACCAAATGGGGTAGGGGTAGTGTGCACACCCATGAAAACACTTGAGTATGTCCACCCCAAATGAGGTAGTGTGCACACCCATTGCAGTAGGCAATGAAAACACTTGAGTACGTCCACACCCAATGGGGTATTGCGCACACCCATTGCAGTGGGCAACAAAAACATTTCAGTACGTCCACACCAAATGCGGTAGGGGTAGTGTGCACACCTATTGCATTGGGCCATGAAAACACCAAATGAGGTAGTGTGCACACCCATTGCAGTAGGCCATGAAAACACTTGGGTACGTCCACACCAAATGGTGTATTGCGCACACCCTTTGCCGTGGGCCATGCGTACGTCCACACCAAATGGGGTATTGTGCACACCCATTGCCGTGGGCCATAAAAACACTTGAGTACGTCCACACCAAATGGGGTAGGGGTAGTGTGCACACCTATTGCAATGGGCCATGAAACCGCTTGAGTACGTCCACACCAAATGATGTATTGTGCACACCCATTGCAGTGGGCCATGAAAACACGAATCTGTCCACCCCAAATGGGGTTTTGCACACATCCATTGCATTGGGCCATGAAAACACGAGTACGTCAACAGCAAATGGGGTAGGGGTAGTGTGTTTTCATGGCCTATTGCAATACATATGCACACTACCCCTACCCCATTTGGTATGGACGTACTCGAGTGTTTTTATGGCCTACTGCAATGGGGTGCACAATTCCTCCTTTGGTGTGGACGTACTAAAGTGTTTTCATGGCCTACTGCAATACATGTGCACTTTAGTACATCCACCCCAAATGAGGTACTGCGCACACCCATTGCAGTGGGCCATGAAAACACTTTCGTACGTCCACACCAAATGGGGTAAGGGTAGTGTGCACACCCATGGCAGTGGGCCATGAAAACACTTTATTACATCCACACCAAATGGAGTAGGGGTAGTGTGCACACATTTGAGTACATCCACACCAAATGGAGTAGTGTGCACACCCATTGCAGTGGGCCATGAAAACACTTAAGTATGTCCACACCAAATGGAGTAGTGTGCACACCCATTGCAGAACCCCCCCAGAGTTCACTTAGCTGCAAGCTGGCACTTAAATATATATCTAAAAGGAAGCACAACCTTTAGTGAGAACATCAAATGAACGCGTGAAAAAAAAAAATCAAAAATATATAAATATATAATATTATTAAAATAGAAACCATCCATGTAGTAAAGTACGGAGGCGTAGTGTGCTCGGTTACCTCATCTGAACCTGTTGGCCCTACACCATTCTGGTCAGTTCATTAAATTAAGCAAAAATGAAAATGATCCCCTATCGTCTGTGCAGTTCGTTCAGGTTGTGGTTGTGCAAGTGCTGCCGCCGTCTGTTCAGGTTGATTGTGTTGCGCTCATGGTTGGCGTTGTCCAAGGGGACTCCCTCAAAGCTGTACTGAGTGTGGGGCATGAACTGCCTGAATATGCTGACGCTGCCGTGCCAAAATGTCGGCTGGGGGAGATGTCCCATGAGGTTCCACTCTTTCGTTTTCGGGTCGTAGGCCTCGACCACGTCAGAAAGTTCAAAGGTGTTGTCATACCCGCCAGACACATACAGTTTGCCTCCGAGTGCGGCCAAGCTCCCGCCAACGTGAACCTGCAATAGTTACAACATCGTTATTAACACAGAGAGCCTAGTATTTTGTAGTTTAAAGAAGGCTATTGGGTAGACTGAAAGTTTGATAGCTTATGTGCCAAATCCATAGATTCCTGTGGATGAGCCGCTGAGCAGGGGTTTCCAAACTTTCTAAACAAAGGGCCAGTTCACTGTCCTTCAGACTTTAGGGGGGCCAGTAGAAGTAGAAAAGGTCCTGGCATCCAGTGAGAGTAAACAATGCCCCATTGTTAGTGTCGGTTGGAGGAATAGTGCCCCATCATTGGTATCAATGGATGAAATTCTTCCCCATAAATGGTGTCAGTGGGAGGAACTGTTCCCTTTCCATGGGGTTAGTGGGAGGAACAGTGCCTCATTGTTAGTGTCAAAGGAATGTGCCCCATCGTTAGTGTCAGTGGGAGGAATAGTGCCCCATCGTTGGTGTCAGTGCAAGGAATAGTGGCCCACCGTTGGTGTCAGTGGGAGGAATAGTGCCCCATCGTTGGTGTCAGTGGGAGGAATAGTGCCCCACCGTTGGTGTCAGTGGGAGGAATAGTGCCCCACCGTTGGTGTCAGTGGGAGGAATAGTGCCCCATCGTTGGTGTCAGTGGGAGGAATAGTGTCCCATCGTTGGTGTCAGTGGGAGGAATAGTGCCCCATCGTTGGTGTCAGTGGGAGGAATAGTGGCCCACCGTTGGTGTCAGTGGGAGGAATAGTGGCCCACCGTTGGTGTCAGTGGGAGGAATAGTGGCCCACCGTTGGTGTCAGTGGGAGGAATAGTGGCCCACCGTTGGTGTCAGTGGGAGGAATCGTGCCCCATCGTTGGTGTCAGTGGGAGGAATCGTGCCCCATCGTTGGTGTCAGTGGGAGGAATAGTCCCCATCGTTGGTATCAGTGGAGGAATAGTGCCTTATCAGCACAGCCGCCCAACTGCTTCCCACTGTCGTGTCCATACAACGTACACACCTAGCGGCGAATTGGTTAAAGTGGCAGTAAAGGCTGCGTATAAATATGGGTAAAGCCATTGCTTCCACCACCTCCTACCTACGCTGTATAGGGCTGACAACAGAGATGTGTGTAAATATGTTATTTCAATCTGCGCCATTCTGGTCAGGTGATACAGAAGCTCTCGCTCCCCTGTGTCATGCAGTGGCTGCTGCAGGGGAGAGGAGGAACCGCCAACAACAAGTGGACAATGAAAGCTGGTGGGTGACATCATGGCTCCTGGCATTCAGCCCCATTGTTGAGCGCTCCACGACACAGGGGAGCCGGATCTTCTGCATCACTGGTGTCAGTGAAAGGAATTCTGCCTCATCGTTGGAGTCAGTGGAAGGAATAGTGCCCCATCGTTGGAGTCAGTGGAAGGAATAGTGCCCCATCGGTGTCAGTGGAAGGAATAGTGCCCCATCGTTGGTGTCAGTGGGAGGAATAGTGCCCCATCGTTGGTGTCAGTGGGAGGAATAGTGCCCCATCGTTGGTGTCAGTGGGAGGAATAGTGCCCCATCGTTGGTGTCAGTGGGAGGAATAGTGCCCCATCGTTGGTGTCAGTGGGAGGAATAGTGCCCCATCGTTGGTGTCAGTGGGAGGAATAGTGCCCCATCGTTGGTGTCAGTGGGAGGAATAGTGCCCCATCGTTGTTGTCAGTGGGAGGAATAGTGCCCCATCGTTGGTGTCAGTGGGAGGAATAGTGCCCCATCGTTGGTGTCAGTGGGAGGAATAGTGCCCCATCGTTGGTGTCAGTGGAAGGAATAGTGCCCCATCGTTGGTGTCAGTGGGAGGAATAGTGCCCCATCGTTGGTGTCAGTGGGAGGAATAGTGCCCCATCGTTGGTGTCAGTGGGAGGAATAGTGCCCCATCGTTGGTGTCAGTGGAAGGAATAGTGCCCCATTGTTGGGGTCAGCGACAGGAATTACGCCCCATTGTTGGCATTACTGGCTGGAATAGTACCCCAAGGGCCGGATAAAGGCAAGCAAAAGGCCACAGTTTTGGGACCGCTGCACTAGAGGACACATAAATGCATTAGGACCAGTCTGGATTTTCCCTAATAAAAGGACTAGCTCTGGGAAGCAGGGACACACAGCCGCACCATACGCATGACATGACATTCTCAATACAAAGGGCATTATAAGGACTTGAAAGGTCACAAAGTGGTGAAGATCAGCGAAGATATATACAATACCTGCTTCATGGGAGGAATTTTGTTCCATTCGTTCTCCAGAGGACTGTAGACGTCCACCTCTGCAGAATCGTCCCTGCAACATGAATATTACATTACTAAAAGGCAATCGGCATCACCAGAGTAGCTGCGCCAATAGATGGACTGGAAGGCATTTTGGTTATTTGGTAGAGGTTCTAACTCTACGCTACTCCGTCCAAAACTAAAAAGGAAAAAAAAAATGCTTTGGCCTAATCAGTAAGTTGTAAGTAAAATGATACCTAAAATAATAAATGATGTGGTGTTCCAGGTGCATTTATTGCTGCCGGCTTTCACCAGTCCATCGCCATCTTCCCTGCAGCCTACGATTCTCATGGTCTCTGTTCCACTACCTGGCCATTTGGGTGTCGGGAGCCGGCTATCGCTTCCTGGTGACTCACAGCCGGCTCCCTACTGCACATGTGCAAGATTACTGACTGCCATGAAGTTAGTCCTGTAGCCTCCTGGGATGCTTGATGTTCTCCCAGGCGGGGGTAGACAGTGGGGTTGGGTGGGTTGGGAGGTGGATGAGCTCAGTAAACGTCATCCTTACCTAGGCAGGGAAGCAGGAGTGGGTACCACAATGTAAAAAAAGGTACCCATTCCCATTGCTAAGCAGCCTGGGGGGGGGGGGGGGGGGAGGAAAAACATTACAAAGCTGGTCGTACACTGTCAACGTTCGAGCTGCAGGCAGCCCTATCGGCACTATAGGTAAATGATTAGCTTTAGACATAACTAATTTCCTAAATAATCATGAAATGAAAAAGTGAAAAAAAAAAAAAAATCAGAAATGAGATGCAGATTGTGAAAGTTGTAGTGCCTAGTCACACTGGTGTGTAGTAGAGAAATGTCCTCTAACGTGGGGGGTCAGTGGAAAAAGTGCCTCCTTACATTGGGGGGGTCAGTGACAAAGTGCCTCTATACATTGGGGGTCAGTGAAAAAAGCTTCCTTATTTGGGAAGGGAGGGTGGGGTTGGGGTCAGTGAAAAAGTTCCTCCATACATTGAGGGGGGGGGTCAGTGGAAAATTGCCTCGAAACATTGGGGGCAGTAGAAAAGTGCCTCCATACATGGTGGAGTCAGTGGAAAAGTGCCCCCATACATTTGGGATCCATGGTGAAGTGCCTCCATATATTGGAGTCAGTGGAAATGTACCTGCAAACATGGTGGGGTCAGTGGAAAACTGCCTCGAAACATTGGGGGTCAGTGGTAAAGTGCCTCCAAACATGGTGGGGTCAGTGGAAAACTGCCTCGAAACATTGGGGGTCAGTGGTAAAGTGCCCCCATACACTTGGGATCCATGGCGAAGTCCCTCCATACATTGGAGTCAGTAGAAAAGTGCCTCCAAACATGGTGGGGTCAGTGCAAAAGTGCCTCAATACATGGTGGAGTCAGTGCAAAAGTGCCCCCATACATTTGGGATCCATGGTGAAGTGTCTCCATACATTGGAGTCAGTGAAAATGTGCCTCCAAACATGGTGGGGTCAGTGGAAAAGTGCCTCAATACATTGGGATCAGTGGAAAAGTGCCCCCATACACTTGGGATCCATGGCGAAGTGCCTCCATATATTGGAGTCAGTAGAAAAGTGCCTCCAAACATGGTGGGGTCAGTGGAAAAGTGCCTCAATACATGGTGGAGTCAGTGGAAAAGTGCCCCCATACACTTGGGATCCATGGCGAAGTGCCTCCATACATTGGAGTCAGTAGAAAAGTGCCTCCAAACATGGTGGGGTCAGTGGAAAAGTGCCTCAATACATGGTGGAGTCAGTGCAAAAGTGCCTCAATACATGGTGGAGTCAGTGGAAAAGTGCCTCAATACATGGTGGAGTCAGTGCAAAAGTGCCTCCATACATTTGGGATCCATGGCGAAGTGCCTCCATATATTGGAGTCAGTAGAAAAGTGCCTCCAAACATGGTGGGGTCAGTGGAAAACTGCCTCGAAACATTGGGGTTCAGTGGAAAAGTGCCTCAGTACATTGGGGTCAGTGGAAAAGTGCCCCCATACACTTGGGATCCATGGCGAAGTGCCTCCATACATTGGAGTCAGTAGAAAAGTGCCTCCAAACATGGTGGGGTCAGTGGAAAAGTGCCTCAATACATGGTGGAGTCAGTGCAAAAGTGCCTCAATACATGGTGGAGTCAGTGCAAAAGTGCCTCCATACATTTGGGATCCAAGGTGAAGTGCCTCCATACATTTGGGATCCAAGGTGAAGTGCCTCCATACATTTGGGATCCAAGGTGAAGTGCCTCCATACATTTGGGATCCAAGGTGAAGTGCCTCCATACATTTGGGATCCAAGGTGAAGTGCCTCCATACATTTGGGATCCAAGGTGAAGTGCCTCCATACATTTGGGATCCAAGGTGAAGTGCCTCCATACATTTGGGATCCAAGGTGAAATGCCTCCATACACTGGTGGTCAGTAGAAAAAGAAGCCCCCTACAGTAGGCAGTGGTAGAAGGACTCCCGTACATGGATGGAAAGAAAGGCTTTGCACAGACAACTGTATCATGCTGGCAATTACCAAGAGACAGAAATTGTGAATTTCTCATGGAATCTCCGTCAACTACCGGAAGAAATCTGCTCTGGGTGGCAAAAGGATGCATTAGCTTGTCTGAACCTTTAAAGCTGAACTCCAGGCAGATAGAAAAGGACAGCTTTGTTTTCTAAATGCAGCTAGATTAAGGACCCGAGTATGTACTTACACTAGCTTCTTACAATCCCCTGTAAAGCAGCACTCGACTCGAAAACAGCCTAGGAAAGAAACATGGCGATAAAGGAAGTGAGCAGAAGGATGACCTAATCAGTCTCCAGCTCTTTCAGTGTCCAATCAACAGGTTGGGGGTGGAGAGAGGACACTGGGACAGTCTTTAAAGTGACAACAAACTCAGGTTGTAAAAATATTCTATTCTAGTATGTGTTCCAAACTCATAAAAGCCACTTAATTTGCTCTTCACCTTCATATTGCTTTTATTATGCTGTAGTGATCTGACTTCCTGTTAGAGGGTGGCTACATTATTTCTCTGTGGTCCCACTGTATGTGAAAATGTAGCCACCCTGCCTGTCCCGCTGTATGTAGGAACGTAGCCACCCTGTCTTGTCCCGCTGTATGTAGCACCGTAGCCACCCTGCTTTGGTCTCGCTGTATGTAGCACCGTAGCCACCCTGCCTTGGTCCCACTGTATGTAGGAATGTAGCCACCCTGCCTTGGTCCCCCTGTATGTAGGAATGTAGCCACCCTGCCTTGGTCCCACTGTATGTAAGAATGTAGCCACAATGTCTTGGTCCCACTGTATGTAGGAATGTAGCCACCCTGCCTTGGTCCCACTGTATGTAGGAATGTAGCCACCCTGCCTTGGTCCCCCCTGTATGTAGGATCGTAGCCACCCTGCCTTGGTCCCCCCTGTATGTAGGAATGTAGCCACCCTGCCTTGGTCCCCCCTGTATGTAGGAATGTACCCCCCTGCCTTGGTCCCAATGTATGTAGGAACGTAGCCACCCTGCCTTGGTCCCCCTGTATGTAGGGATGTAGCCTCCCTGCCTTGGTCCCCCTGTATGTAGGAATGTAGCCCCCCTGCCTTGGTCCCGCTGTATGTAGGAATGTAGCCACCCTGCCTTGGTCCCTCTGTATGTAGGAATGTAGCCCCCCTGCCTTGGTCCCTCTGTATGTAGGAATGTAGCCCCCCTGCCTTGGTCCCGCTGTATGTAGGAATGTAGCCACCCTGCCTTGGTCCCGCTGTATGTAGGAATGTAGCCACCCTGCCTTGGTCCCCCTGTATGTAGGAATGTAGCCACCCTGCCTTGGTCCCCCTGTATGTAGGAATGCAGCCACCCTGCCTTGGTCCCCCTGTATGTAGGAATGCAGCCATCCACTTTTCCTCACTCTTGATCACGGACGTGGTCCTGATTAGGACTATTGGATTTGTAGTGTGCATAGAGTAGTGCACGTGACTGCAACTATCGTGCACTGCTTGTTTCAAACAAAAGGAAGCGAGGGGTTAAAGGAGAGGTTCGGAAGCTCACACGGGACATTACAAGGAGGCAGAAAAACACAGTAATCAGTTTAATGGAAAAAAAACAGATTACGGGCCTTTAAGTAGAGGATGTATATGGATTATTCTTGGAGAATAAAGATATGATTTAGTATCACTTTCCCTGGAAACGGTGTCAACCACGTGGTTATGCTGTGCAGCAGAGCTGTGTAAATTTCAGCACTGGATGGACAAAAGCACAGATTTTACAATATGTGATATGTTTGCCTGGAGTGCGGTCTCTAATAACGATCTGCAGGACAGAAGTGCCAGATGACATTGGAGTCAGTAGAAATGTGCCTCCAAACATGGTGGGGTCAGTGGAAAAGTGCCTCCATACATTTGGGATCCGTGGCAAAGTGCCTCCATACATTGGTGGTCCTTGGAAAAGGGCCTCGAAATATTGGGGGCAGTAGAAAAGTGCCTCCATACATGGAGTCAGTGGAAATGTGCCCCCATACATTTGGGATCCGTGGCAAAGTGCCCCCATACATTTGGGATCCGTGGCAAAGTGCCTCCATACATTTGGGATCCGTGGCAAAGTGCCTCCATACATTTGGGATCCGTGGCAAAAGGCCTTCGTACATTTGGGATCCGTGGCAAAAGGCCTTCGTACATTTGGGATCCGTGGCAAAAGGCCTTCGTACATTGGTGGTCCTTGGAAAAGGGCCTCGAAATATTGGGGGCAGTAGAAAAGTGCCTCCATACATGGAGTCAGTGGAAATGTGCCCCCATACATTTTGGATCCGTGGCAAAGTGCCTCCATACATTTGGGATCCGTGGCAAAGTGCCTCCATACATTTGGGATCCGTGGCAAAGTGCCTCCATACATTTGGGATCCGTGGCAAAGTGCCTCCATACATTTGGGATCCGTGGCAAAGTGCCTCCATACATTTGGGATCCGTGGCAAAGTGCCTCCATACATTTGGGATCCGTGGCAAAGTGCCTCCATACATTTGGGATCCGTGGCAAAGTGCCTCCATACATTTGGGATCCGTGGCAAAGTGCCTCCATACATCTGGGATCCGT